CAGCCTATCTTTGAGCTGCCTGTGTGGGCGAGTAAGGGTGTTTATTTGTGGTTCAAAGCCCATTAGTGAGTTGAGACCCATTTGTGAAAAATAATGAACCCACCGCCACTGTGGCCAGTCTGACTCAAAGTCCCGCTGTGGGTCAGAGCAGGGTGCCCAGGTGGCCAAGGCTGCAAACCTCTGGCCGTGGACGCCACTTCCTTCTGTGCAGCAGCCGGTGGGTGCAAACTGTCACCCTTTCACAGGAGGTACCTTAACCAGGGAGCCACCAGGGCTCCTTCTGAGACCCAGAAGTCCATGAAGCCAGCCAAGCCCGGCATTTGCCAAAAAAACAGGCTGGGCAGTGTGGGAATGCTGGGAGGGAGTGGGGGGGAGAGGGATGGCGCAGGTCTCTGGAACCATCAGTTTGCAACATGTGTGCACGAGCACGCATGTGCCCAGTCTGCCAAGAAGGAGCCACCAGAGGCCCAAATGAAGGGTGGACACTGGTCGTCGGTCACTAGAGGCTCTGGCGACACCAGCACTGAGTATGCCTGAGCCACTGAAGACGAAGGTGACCCATGGGGAGGGGTCCCCAAAAGGGCCTCCACTTGACTGCCTCCCCTTTCCAGATGGTGCCTCTGGCAGTGCAGGCCGGACAGGGCAGGGGCCTCAGTGGCATCTGCCTCTGAGACCCAAAGGCTAGAGCATCATGCAGATCCTCCTCCCGCTGTGGACAGGCAGAGTGGACAGCTGAGAGCCCTTCCCGCAGCCTCCCACTCCTGCCGGTCGCTCCTGTGCCCCCCCGCCCCCACCCGCCTGCACCACCAGTTCTCTGGCTGAGCTCCTGAGCCTGGCCACCAGCATATGGGCGTCTGGTGGGCACACTCAGCGCAGCAGGTTGGGAACAAGGAGGCCCGTTCTCCTCAGAGACGCTGAGTCTCCATGTGTTGGTACTGGGGGAGGGGGAGCAGAGAGGGAGGGTACTGCTCAGTGGGCAGGGGGTGGGGACATGCTGGGGGGCACCAGGGATGCCTGACCCTGCTGTGCTGGACCATCTAGGGCGGGATGAGGGAGGGCTGTCCAGGCCACCACCAGAGGCTCAGGTTCCTGCTCCTGGGCAGGGTCAGAAAGTCTCACTCCCTCTCTCCTGGCCAGAGGACAAGGAGCTGTCACTCCACTCGCACCCCCGCTTCCCCCAGGCTGCTGCCAGCTGCTTAGTGCACGCCTCTGGGCTCAGGGACGAGGTCAACACCCACTATCTGTGCCCAGGGCCTTCGCTTTTCCCAGGGGGCCAGTACGTCTGCTTGTGCATTCAAGACTGGTTCTGAGTGGCAGGTGACCTACTGGGGCTCAGGGGGGACATTTTTCAAGCTCTGTGCCCAGGAAGAGCCAAGGCCCTGCCCCATGCTCTGGGATCCTGCCTGTGAGCCTCTGTCTTTGGGACCGAGGGGACATGCCTGTGGGGCACCGCCGGTGGGGCTTCCTGGGCAGGAGGAAGGGCCACAGGTTGAGGGGCCTGCCCTCTACACCCCCCATGGCTCCTGCCAAGGCTCTGTGCGGTGGCCCTAAGAGCAGTGGCAGGAGCAGTGCCTAGCACGACAGAGGCGAGGTTACCCCTGGGCTGGCCCCCCATATCCTGCAACCCAGCCGAGGGCACTGCCCCTAGTCTACGGTCCAGCCAGACATGCACCTCAGCCTGGCTGTCTGACACACACTGACATATGCACATGTACACAGTATACTTACAGATGCACACATTGACATGCAATGCCCACATCTGTGCACATGTACAAAATGTCGCATACATATACATCTCCCCAGACGTGCACATATTTGTATACACACAGGCACACACATACATACAATTACATACACCGTGCAAGTGTGTGTACACACATTGACATGTACATACATCATCACCCACATGTGCACACATATGTATCTACACATGTGCACACACGTACATTAACATTTCCCACCATGCCAACATGTGAACACACGTGCATATACATGTTGAGGAGCCCTGGTGGCATTGTGGGTTTGCATTGGGCTGCTAACTGCAAGGTCAGAAGTTTGAAACCACCAGCAGCTCCAAGGGAGAAAAATGAGGCTTTTGGGTCCTGTAAAGAGTTCCAGTCTCAGAAGCTCAGCAATAGTCTTGCCCTGTGCTATGGTGGCGATGAGCTGGCATCGACTCGAGAGCAGTGTGTTGGGTTTGGTGCACACATGGACACACAGCCACACAGGTGAACTGAGCCTACTGGCTCAGGCTTTAAGACCCAGGTGCACACCTGAGTGCCTGGACTTGCCAAGGCCCCCACTCCCAGCTGTGCATTGGGGGTGGGGGTCGTTGTGAGCAGGCTGGGCAGTGCCTATCGAGGGGAATACCTCTTTGTGGATCTCTGAGGGAGGCTCACGTGCACGTTCACGTGTATGTGTGCGGTGTGCCGAGGGGCAGTGTGGGTGAGGTAGACAGCTTTCTCTGCGCCCCCCTAAGC